TTTGAGCTGTCTGCGAAGTTCCAAAGACAGTAGGAAACTCTCATACTCTGAGCACTAAGAGAAAGAATTTGGTTATAAAGGTTCTACTTTCACAGAATGATTCCAGGATATATGTGGCAGGGTGGTGATACACAGACCATAATAACACTGGCACCAAGTCCACCGATGGGGCAGAACTTGATGAGAATTTCACCTGAAGCATACATGGCCCAGGATCTTGTTATAGGTAAGGGATAGACCCAGCACACTGCACTGCTGAGAATGAGTAATGAGCTGGAAAGCATGTGGTCTTTGGCATGGTTAGACAGGGCATGAAAATTGCTGATGCCTTGGAGTAGGCTGGGTACAGAGGTGGAAAGACCAGTAAGAAAATAACCATTGCTGCCTGTGGACAAATCTAATCACATGACTTGTGCTTTATCTTAAGCACTAGACTATTGTTTCTGTAGTTCAGAAGAATAGCTCTTCACCCCCATCTGCTCAAAATATCCTATAATCTTTATGCTCTCCCTATAGTTCTTTGGGTTCCATGTTTTCCTATCACGTTCCAAGCCTACCTGGATCGCAGAATTATGTTTATGCTTATGAAGTAAACAATAAACAAAAATATTGCTAACAGCAATAGGGCCTCTTTCATGAAGCAAACACACACGTACACATAGGCATACACACATGTACCAGGTCACAACATGGAACTTCATAAGGTTACCAGACCCTTTGAATTCCATTTGTGGACTTGCAATTAATAGTCCCCAAAACTGCTATGTTATGTTTTTTTGGGGAAAAAAAAGTATTATAGATATAACTTTATACCCCAGGCTAATATTTTCTTATTTATTCTGATGGTGCAAAACAACAAAGGATTTTAGAACACAGTAGTTTACTATCTAAGAAAATTCACAGCATTCAAAATTTCCAAGTATTTGCTTTTTAATTTACTCACCCTGCAGGATCATTTTGCTTTAGGGGTTAAATGTGAAACTATAAACAGTCATTAAAACACAAAACAACCATAGTAGTTAACCGGATATTAAGGGGGAAAAAAAATCACATCTGTTTTAGAGTTCTCTTCCATCCACAAATTCAAGAACATCAATTTCAAGAACCTGGTTTTATGGTATGCCCTGAAGCCAAGAAAACCAGGTTACAATCAAGACTTCCCACAAGCAGAATCTCACTACAATATCTTGCCCCCAGGATTCTCTTTAATTCAAAGTCAGTACAATTGTGTTTTCTATTACTTCGAAAGGTAGTCATTACTATTTGCACATTAATAATTATGTGATCCTTATTAGATAGATAGTTTTCTGAAAAGAGGAAGAAAGAAAACAAATTTACATGCTGTTTTATCTGGTGCTACTCTAAGTAACAAATACTAAGATTTGGTGGCATCTCAATATACACAGAATGAGAACCTTGCAAAGAATCTGATTTTTCTAATTTAAACCCTTTTGAATCTTCCACCTTGTTTGAGAGCGTACATCCTAAATAACCAATTTGCAATAACCAGTCAGAAAACAAGTTCAACTTTTCCAACTTTTCAAAAACACGTATCTCTGAGCATCAAAGAAAATTCTTTCCTCTGTTGTAAGCCTAATGAAGTGCAACTAAAAATAACAGTCATCAACTGTGGTTTTAAAGGCAATATTTCAACATAATCAAATGTGTCAAATATTCATCCTTACAGCTACTTATGCCGTGGGTTATAAGTAAGTTTCATTTCTTGGGAATGATTGAACAGAACCCACTTGGGGCTCTGCCATCTGTGAATTACTTACATGTGAACACTCTGTTTAAGAGATGGAAATTCTGATTGTTTTTTTTCTTTGGATATTGAAATGAAATGCAGTTGAACAGAGCTTTTTAAGCAATTATTTTTTTAGATCGGTTGCTATATAGCTATATTATCACATACTCTCCACATTCATCATCACTTATTAAGTCATAGAAATCAAACATGGTACATCTGAAGTTACAGAGAAAGCATCAACAGAGCTATGAAATCTGAGAGATGGAAAAGAATCTGCAGGCTCAAGTCTGACCTCCCGACACTCAGGCTTTGCCTCACTGAAACTTCTCAGTAGTGTGTTCCCATGGAAGAGTTGTGAGGGATATGTCCCCATGCTTTCCTTGAAAGACCTGTTTCCCCGCTTACCACTGAAAAAGCAATAAAAATCACTACTGGGTTATAAGGAAGGTGCCATGTAATTTATTATCCATACACGGACACCTCTGAGAGTTAGTAAGACATTATTAATAATTATGCCAGAACAACAAACATGAAATATAATGGCCCCAAGCAAGCCTAATCATCCTGGTACCTGGAAATGATGTGCAACTCACAGAACTTCTCCCAAGGGTTTCAACTCATTTCATTAATGCTGTATCTAATGGGACTTCTGTGTAGGACTTCTCTGTCCAGTAGAAACACAATACCAACCACAGATGTGACTTTATATGTGATTTTCTAGTAACCATATTTTCAAAATGTAAAAAGAGATAAAGACAATTTGGGTAATATATGGTATTCAATCCAACAAACCTAGCATAGTATCATTATAACATATAGTTAGTATAAAAATAATAAACAAGATCTTTTACTTTCCTTTTTCATATTTCAGTCCTTGAAATCCATTATGCATATTACACTTTAAAATATATTTCTAGGACTGTACAGTCACATGTGGCCAGAGGTTATGGCACTGAACTTAATAGGTTGAAGTAGTGTTGGGATAAATGAATAGTTATGATACACACATGCAAATGCGTTTTTCTTTAGCTAAAAGAAATCTGAATGTCTTTACTTACCAATTCTGGCTGCCCTTTGTAAATCAGGGCAATCAAACTATCTGTCTCTTGCCTGGGGTAAACCAGAAGTTGGGGATGACTACAATTTACCTGGTAGGTTCCTTTATGTAACAGAGAGAATGGCTCAGTTAGGAAAGTTTGGTCATTGCTGTGAACTTTTAGATCTTTTCCCAGACTAATATATATCTTACATTCCTAAATCTAACAAACATACACTGAGCACCTTAGATATATTTGGCACTAGAGATAGGAAGATAAATAAATGTCTGTACCTTGGAATGTTAATATTTAAAGTTTGCATGGATTTTGTTTTACAGCTGAAGCCAGAGAAGCCCAGGTTGTGTTAGTATTCTGTGGCAAGAAAAGGGCCAAACTACATTCTTGTGCCTCAGACCTTCCCCTCATTGTCCATAGAGATTACTGAGAAGAAAGGAGAAAATAAGTATTTCCTTTTTACTGCAGTACAAAGGGATAAGTTCACATTTGATAATTTGCATAGAGTTAGGTAAAAAGATTTAGGGAGTTAGGATTGTGTCTTTGCTAGTAAAGTATAGTTCCCTACTAAATGCCCCAACTTGATCTCATCAATTTTAGTAAGGATACAAAGTCTATCAGAAAGATAATAGACCTCCCCTCCTCTAGGGAAAGTAATATTATATTTACAATTGGCCTAAAGACAGCTTGACTGATAGAAACATTGCTAACTGGATAGGTTTTCTGCATATAAATGATAAATAGCTATGCATTATCCAAATATACTCTCATTTCAGGGTATATTTACATTATTGTAGAAATAATCATCATAATGCAGTTTTCCTTTTTTATATAATTCTTCTTTCATTATATTACTCCCTCTAATACAACATATTTATGCTAAATATGGCCTCAATAATTTGCATTAAACACACACACATCAATTCACATAGTAGGTCTGCCTGTATTTATCATAAAGTAGAACTCATATGTATTACCTTTTATTAAAGCAATGCTTATTTGAATATGTTTGCTTAAAATGATGGGGAGGGAGTGAGAAAGTATTACATTAGAAATACTTTCAAGACACATACTTCTTTGTTTACAAAAAGATATACACCAAAAAATTTGTCATAATCTATTAGTAAATACCCAATTTGTATACTAACTCCTACTTCTACACTTTGGAGGTAATTCTTAATAAGAATATTTTATACCAAGCTAGGAGATTTCAATTAGCTTATTTAGCATCCTAATATGCTTTATTTTTCCTCAAGACAATGAGACTAAAATTGAGAAAGAGCCTCTGTTTTAGGGGGAAAATATTAAGATGGCTGTTTTAAATCACCTATTGCAAAATTTTATCACTGTTAACGACAACTTGATTGTTTCAAGGATAAATCACAATTATAATTCTTTAATTCAGGAATCAGCAGAAGATCCCACAATCCCATGTGGAAGGAAAACAACATTTTCTAGGTGACTATTCTCTGCTTAACTTATCAGTTTTAGGTGTATCAGTTCTATCTGTTTAAAAAAACTTGGTATATAACCTTTTTTTTTTTTTTCAGTTGAATATTGGTCTCTAGAAACCCAATATTGTACTGCATATCAATGGCACTGGTATTTTGAAATTATGTTGCCATTCATGATTCATTAATATACCCACTTAAATATATATATATATACTGTATCCTTGGGGATTAGATATACTCTCATTTTAGAGTATATTTACATTGTAGAAATAATCAGCAAACTACGTGCACATTTGTGTGTGTTACATGTATGTGTGTATGCATATATAGACTCGTGTGTTCACATATACACATGTGCTATATCCTTGGTCACTCTGAAGAAGAATGAAGGAAATGTAACAGTAGAAATAGTATATAGTGCACTGGTTAAGACTGGATTTGGGAGCCAGACCAAACTTTATCAGTTAAGCTCTAAACTGTGACCTTGGACAATTCTCCTGCCTCAATCTCATCACTAAAATGAAGATAAAATCTTGCTATTACCTTGATGTGGAAATTTAGATGACTTCATGTGATGGTTGGCTAATAATTACAAGTAATAGTTCACACTAGCTATTATGATAACTAATACCATATAGCCTATCAAATGATCTCTGTGGACTACTTAACACTACACAGTCCCAGTGAATCTATGAGAAAGGCACTTTGATCTTTCATTAGAAATGCAAGCAGCAGGGTACCTACTGGAATAACAGGTTTCAGACCCTGGTCACTGGGGTGTGAAGTGCTTGACTGGGCATCAGTGAGCGGGCCTGGGGCTGGATCACTGCTTCTCCTCACCAGCAGTGGAGTGCCTGTTGGACAAAATAAGAGGTGAGAGGTCAAGAGAACCCTGGAGGCAAGAGAGTGCATGGTACAATGCAATTTAATTAAAAAGGTTTACAACATGCTTTTATGGAAAAATTTCTATTTCTAAGGATGCTTGTAAATTAATCCTTTTAAGGATCCTTTGTCATCTATTTATATAAAAACACATGGGAAAAATCTTCCAGCTCTCATCATCCCCACTTGCATTGCAAAACAAGTAACTGTATTAAGAGGTACACTCTTAGGCAATACAAAAGTTGAAAATATGCAACCTAAATATGACCTAAAAAATACATTTTGATCATTAAAAGAATGGTATCAGACGAGTGAAGAGGTGTACAGTCAGTCAACTTTCCTACTCAGTAGAGCCAAAAGTATTATTACTACCGCCATTTGGTCTTCTCCAAATGATGATTATCTTTTGAATGATGATACACGCTGAAATAAAACATTTGTGGGGGTTATAGCATTAAAGTCTATTTAAATACACAAAAATATTGGTTCCATTCTTTCCTTTTCTCCTAAAGTAGATAAAACTGATAAGGAAAATAAGTTAGGTCTTCTAAAAATACATCCTGATTTCTTTTTAATTTAATAAAAAATTCTACTATTAAATATTTGACTCAGTTATTAAATTCTTAAAAACAAAAGGATCTTACTATTAGAAAGTTCAAATGAAATTCAACCTTAAGCAGAGCTGGCAGTCGTACTAGTCTGACTGCAATTAGGCCTAAAATAATTTGTTTCATACAAAAGTTGGCCACTATAGAGGCCAATCCGTCTGTGGTTTAAAAATCACTCTCATATAAAAATTAACTTTTTTTATCTGCATGCTTTTGGGAAAAAAAATGGAAAACAATTGAAATGCAATTTCCCATTTATCAATATTCTGAAAATAACTCCCCAAATCTCAAGTTGCTGCAGTTAAAAAAAACATTTTTTTTTCTTACCACATTTTACAGGATATAAAATAAATCCATTTTGATGTTATAAACCTGAATTTATATATGCCTGACATTCTTATTCTGTACACAAAATGCAAAGTTGCTAATACTTTAATCATTGTTCAGGTAGCAGCTGACTTTTAAAAAATAACTTCTTTTGTAATAAGAAATTAATAAGCTACTTAGGATAAAATACTATGCCAAATGATATTATAAAATCAAATTTTGACTAAAAAACACTTTGCTACATTATTCCCTATTTCCTCCACCTCTTCTAAAAAAAAAAATCACCTTAAGTAAATGGCATCACTAGCTATATAACTGGCAACTATACTCTAAAATAAATTTTAAAAGGAAGTGTGGAAGCAAAAGAAAGTGTTGTAAAATCCAGACCTCAGGATCCCAGTCTTACAACAATATTTTTTACCTCTTTTACTTGTTCTGAAGTCTAACTGTCTCCTGGGTGAAGTCCCTGAATTACCATTAACGTGAAATGAAAAAGTCAGTCTATATGTGATGTTCTCAGCAGCAAACCTTTCTTTTTAAAATTAAGAAGAGAATGAGACAAACCTATGATACTCTGGTTTGTGCAAAAGCATTTACCCCCAATCTATACACTTCATTTCAATAATTTCAAATAGAGAAAAGAAAAGAAAAAAAAAAAGCCAAACCAGAAAGGTACATCATGGTGAAAATAAGTTCATTTAGTGGTGCAGAAATGGAATGATTAACAATTTTAGATATACTTTTTTTTTTCAATTTAGTCATACATGTGTATGAATCTATGTGCACACATCTATGAATATTTACCAAGTGTGTGTATGAGAGAGTATGTAACCGGAAAATGTTATTTCTTTCATGTAATGAAAATATTTTTCTTGAAGTCACACAAAATAATTCTCCTTCAACTTGAAGCACAAGATGATGACTCCTATTTGCCATTGATGGCTGCTGTTTTAAAATAAAATGCCAAAGAAGTAACTTTACATTAGCACATATTCAGGCTTGTGTCTTGAACTGAGACCCCATAGTATTATGGTGTAGCTTTCAAAGGAGACTCCATTCAGTTTTATACTAGTTGCAACTATTTGGAACATTAAAAAACAAACAAATCATTAAGAAGGTTAGATAGTTCTTAAATATATTCTCAACCCACTAGGAATAAATTTTGTTCTCTACTTTCCTACATTACACATCTGAATGTCTCTTCTTGAGTCACCTTCTAATTTTTCTTTGGCTGTCTTCACATGTTAAGAGCAAGTATAAATCAGTTCATATTGGAATTGATAATGAGCATCTTTAAATATGAACTGCTATCTCAGAGAGTTTTAAACAGCCCTTCCCTTGGCAATATAAAATGTATTTAAAATGTTTTTTTTTTCTTCATATTTCCAAGACTCCTTTGAAAGTAAATGTCAGGAAGAAACTGAGTTACAACTTAAAGACAAAGATATGTTCTAGTGGATAACAGAAGGCAAGTGATTAGCAGTACTGAAGATAATTTGGGCAAATTCTTGGATAGATGCAGGAAAGTAGAAGACAAACCTCACAAGAAAGGCTAAATGAAATGAGAGGGCCACAACTTCATCTGGCTTTATGCAAGCTATTTTTTGAGGAAAAGGTAAATAAACAATCTCAGTAGTGATGGAGTTTATAACCCATCAATAAAGTTTAAATATTAAGACTAGTAACTATCATGTGTTGGTACAATAGATAGAGAGGATCATGAGTTTTAGAGTCAAAAAGGTAGAGACACTGAATTACTTGGTGACAAAGTCTCATCATTTAATATTGGTGGTAACAGGAGAAAATAAAGTAAGATATGCATTGGACAGGGTGGTGTCCAATATGTAATTTTTATGCAGGATATCCTGCCCCCAGAAAAAGGAGGTAATGACACATGAAACTATTGTTCCAAAGTTTCTTAACATGCTTAAGAAACAAAACGCTGAAAGTCAAGTTAATTTTCCTGCCATATGTAAATTAAAAGATTAAAACATAGTTTGGTACAAAATCAGGCCTAGTTTTATGATAGAAATCAAAAGGTTTTAAGAAAAAAAAATATGATGAGCTGGAAGGTAATATAAAAGTTGGAGAAAATACCATTCATTGCTATGTTTAAGCTAGCTGAAAAAAGATCTATTGTAACCCATAGAGACAAAAGCTCTTGGTTCAGTTCAAGGAATAGCATAGTCCTCAGAATTATATTCCAAAAAAAGAAATGTTACATAAAGTTAAGTATTTGAGGCCCTACAATACAAGGGGCGGATAATAGAAATGAAGATAAATAGTCACATGGCTTTCTCTTAGGCTCATCTTTGTAAGGAACGAGAGGTGATGACAAGGGACGTCAGTTACAGGTTCAGGGCAAAGTGGGGGCTATGCATGGATTATTGCTGAGCTCCTATCAGGAATCAAGGATCCTGTCACTGGGTCAAGTCCATTTTATTTACTCGATGCACAGCAACTTAATAGACACCAAAGAGAAGCTGTGTCCTTCAAAGCAAAAGTGTTTCTGGCCAGGCGTGTAGCTGATGCTGACTGTTCTTGTAAGAAGGAATCTGACCATAGCAGGAAAGCAGGACCCATGCATCTGCAGAACATTGTTGCCCTCAGGAAAACCTTACAAAGACATCCACTGTTCTTGCCTTTAAGAAGATGGTGGGCTCAAGATTCCTCCATATCTACACCAACAAACTCTAGCCTCAGTTCCCAGGTGTCTATGAATGATAGCATGTCTTGGAATTCTCAAGCACTTACTATTTTGATATTAAAACTAAATTCAAAGGGGCACAGCTATGTGTCCAATGACCCCTTAAATGCAAATAAGGGAGTCCAGAGGAAGGTCACCTAATCCAATTTGGGGAAAATAATTTTGAAAGAGGTAGTGACTAATTAAAAGGAGCAGGGATTTATTTAAAGATGGTTAATGATTACCCTGGAGAAAAACTGAAGACCAGTTTATCGTCAATATTGGTGCTATTTCATGTGAGGTTGATGGACACCTGGGGAGATCAGGTGGGCAGTTGGAGAGCAGCTGAAATGCGGACAAGGCATTTTTGTGAAACATTAGACGGCCTCAAATGCAGAGCAACTGGAAGGGCAACACAAAGGATTTGTAAAGGATTTTGTCGGTCAGCAGTGATCAACAAAAATGGAGTGGTAAACCAGCAGAGGACATGGGGAAAGTTCACAATGTTTGCAAGAAAGAAGGAACATAAAGAGATCTTAAACCAGTTAGTGATTTTTGTGACTGCAGAGTAACAAAAAGATCTTAGCTATTACTATGCTTTGTTTCAGAAAATAAACAAGAATATTGACTGAAGGTTACACTGATTTCCTTTTAATCTAATGTGTTTTGGTATACCTGAAAAAAATCAAAGATAAAATTTTCAGTTGGGTGTTCTTAAAGATGAACTTGAAGTTGATTGTGGAAATCATATTTCTCTAGAATGAGTAAAGAGAGACAAGCATGAGTTAAACAAAGGGGGTGGGAGTAGAGGGAGAATCCAGTGCAAGTCTGTTAATCACACTGCATGCAAAATAATGAGAAACCAGGATTTTACATTCTTACAAACCCCTCAAAGGTATGAGTATCTAGGATGAGAGATGGTCAGCAAAGCTACAGAAGTGAGCTCAAAGGTAAGATAGATGGGAATAGATGGAAAGGAATTGAAGTTAACATGATAAACTGTGCAAAGAGAGGTGAAGCCTGGTTTTTTGAGATACCAGCTGATAAGTATTTCGATAAAAATAAGTTGAAATGGTTAAAAATTTTTAAATTGAAAACACACAGTCTGTCATGTACTCAATATTCATAGTATTTTAATAATCATGATAATCATAATAGGCCTATGGTCTTTCCTGTGGTATATTTTCTTAATAGACTTATAAACTGCCGGTACCTAGAAGCATGCCTTTCAGTAATCTCAATATTTGTTGTATGAACTTGACATTCTTTGAATGAA